TAATTATTTGGAATTAGAATTTATATTTTTTTTATGGATGATTAAAACCTACTAAAATTTCTAAGATAGTTGTCACCTTCAATTTTATCTTTCATAATTAGAAACCTTGTACATTTCCAAATAAGACAACACATAATATGACAATGGTATCATAATCTAATTTGTATACAAATGTACATATAGATGTGTATGTAAGTGCATATAGAGATATGCTAGTATTTCCATCTTAATCTCCTCATTGAGTAATTCAACTAGCTTTAGCAAATAGGCTTTTAGAACAGGAATTGACCATAAAATCCATGATTCATGTAAAAACATAATAATAACCATAATTACTATTATACCTAGATCCATATATCCTATTTCATGTGGCTCAAATGCAAATATCTTGTTATGTCAAAAAAATATTTCTTTAAAATATCTTTTTTCAACTTCTATCAAAAAGTTTTTATATTCAATCTTTAATCCATTTAATGTCAATATGTTTGTAAATTCATGCCCTATCTTCTTTGAATCTTTCAAATTTGGTTGTATAGAAGTTCTCTTAATTTTCTCTTCACAATCCAATGGTAGTGGCAATGCAATTAGTTTAACCTTCTTTACAACATTCTAATATTTGGTCTCTATCCTCACTTTATATTTATCTGTATATTCTTTCACATTATTATAATTTTTTTTAGAATGTAAATTTATTATTTTATCATCACCTTTAAAATCCAAATCCAATAATATTTATAAGTTATCCATAGTAGCATCAAAACAAGATTCTTCAAACATCCATGTTGTGCATTCATTTTTGTAAAATACTCCATAGCTCTTAAACTCATGTTCTATATTTTTGATATTTTTCTTTTCTATTATTCGAAAATTATTTATATTTTTGAGTGAAATATATCCATTCTATAATAATCTAATAATGGTCTTATTTCTTCTACTAGGAAGGAAGCTATCACCTCTTATACTATTACAAATCTGCTTTATAATAGCATGTATTGAAAATCCTTCACATGCTCATCTCAAAATTTTCTAGTAACTTTTGGTAATAGTTGTTCTTTTAAACTCTTATATTTTTCCTTGTGATTAGTACATATTATAAAAATTATATTATTTTTTTTCAATGTCAACTCCTAATTTGAGCATATGTTAATCTATTGTCCATAATCTTTATTTCCATTTGAATAGCCATAATATAAGGTTGTCCAAGTATGATAGAATAAATAGACATATCTTATATAAAGAAGTTTTGCTCATCATGAGCATTCTTTATTGTAACCTTTACATTTGGACATGCTCCATATAACTCTTTTCATGAATTGTTTGCTGTTCTAATCAACCACCTATGTTTGGTATCAATAGGCCATTTTCTCCTTTTATAAAATTACTTTGATGTCAAATTTATCTTTGACCTATAATTAATTAATGCCACAAGAGATTCTTTTGATTTCTTAACTTCACTAATGTCTCTATTATTTCTTTTTTCCAATAACTACAAGAATAATAATTAGATGCTTGGATTTTATCTTTTTCTTCAATGAACCTTACATAGAAAATATCTCCATATTTATAATCATTAACATATTCATCTATCATTATTCTTGTCTTATTTACATTTGTAGCTATATTTTCACCCAAAATTTACCATTTCTTCTTAATAATATCTGTAATAATTTCATAGCACTCTCTCTTTTCTATTTCTAGAACTTCTTTCCATGTAAATTTTACCTTGCCATTTAAAATACACTCTTCCAAAATCTTCTTCAAATCCATTGTTGCCTCATAATCTGATTGCAATTTACAATATAGAGCCTTACCTTTCTACTTAGATGTATCATTCATTACCTTTCCATGTACCAAAAGGATTTGTTGTCAATCTTTATCCAATTTCATAGTTTTCTTTGATGAACTTTCATTTCCATCATCTTTCTTATGCTTACCTTTTATCAATGCCTCATATTGACTCTTTGTAATATACACATGTATAGATAAACTATCAACTAGATCATTCCAACTTGTAGTTTTTCAAATACATTTTCTAACATCAAGTCATACATCTCTAGCAACCTTTCTATTTGTTACACACTTTATTATACTTGGCCACAATAAAATTATATAATCTGATCCTTCAATGCTTGTACTTGCATAATTGTGAGTAAGACCAACCCTATTTGTCTTTGCTTGCATTGTATAAACTATCATTATTTTTATTCCATATTTGCCAAAATTTATTTTTTATGGTATTTCACTTTCTCTTAAATGTATGTTTCTTTCTTTGAAATATACTCTATTACTCCTTAATGTCTTAGTAAATTCCTCAAACTCCCTTTGTGAATGATTAAGACTATTATACTACATACAACAAAGAGACAAACTTTCTCCTATTTGCCTTGGTTTTGCTTCCAATGAATCTTTTGTTGTTTGGCTCTTTTCTTCAAATCTAACTAATTTGAGTATTAATTCTCTCATGCCTTTAACTAATTTATTAATTGCCAAATCATCACTCTTTGGAAGAATAAAAGATGGTTAAGAAGCATATTGCTTGTATATAATAGAAGAGATGGTATCACTTACAATTGCTTTATTTCTTCATCGTTATCTTTTAGTTAATAATAACACTGTTCATTCTGCTTCTTTCGAATTTATTTTTATTCCTTGCTCTTTGTTTTAATCCTCAAGCAATAGTTCCATTTTTTCTTGCAATTCTACATTTATAGCTTGTATAAATAACTAAGTCTTCTCCAATTTTAAGCTCAATCTTTCCATCCCTGATAATTGCTTAAATTGATAATTAAATTCTTTCAATAATTTATTTGCCAATAAATCCTTTATTGGACATATAATCCACTCAAAAAAGATCTCTTGATTATTTACTTAAAATCCTCTATAAAATACTCTTCTTACATTTTTTGTACAAAATCATCTTAAGTACTTCTATTAGAATCTTTTAACTTTTTTATTTGCCCTCAAATTTTTGGCACCATTATAAGTATAAAGTTTGCAATCATATCATCTTCCAATATCTTGTTAACTCCTATTTCTCATGCATAAAATTATATGTACTTTGACACATTTCTCCCACCAAATTGATCCATCTTATTCACAATACATTGTAATGCCTTTATTGCCAAAATCTCCTTCCATTGAGTGACTTGTTGTTGTTGCATATGAATGCTAAAAGCTGTAAATATTTACATGGTGCTAGCATTAAATGGGAGAGGAATACCTTAATTAGCCATAAGAAGAACTTGACTTCTTCACAATCAAGTATAAAGATCTTAATTTTGGACCTTTTACAACAGATCTACCTTAAAGTATATCAAAAAGTTTGTTATTTGTCTAGAAGAACATTGGGCTTTCAGTTATAGAAGTCTTTGTAACATGAAAGCAAAACCCTTGATTTTTCATGCTATCTTATTAATCCTAACTTTTGGCTGAAATTCTAATTCTAATCCTACTTGAATTAAACCCTTTGCACTCTTGAGTTTCTTTTTAATTTGATTTAGTCCACTTTTAGCACCTCATGTTAACTAATAAATGGATTATATTACAAAATTGGTGAACACAATGGCTAGGTTCATATAATAAAGTTTAGTATCAATTCCCATCAAAGACAATAGACACTAGTGAAACTCACAAAGAAAAGAATTTCTATGGTAATGTTGTATGAACATTCTTGGCCAAAAGAGGTTATGAAAAAAGTAGGACTTTTAAAGTATTTTCAAAAATATGCATGTCACATATAGGTTGTTAACATAAACAAAACACTAACCTCCTTACCCTCAAGATGAGTTGTATTATACTTCTTCTCTAGAGGCCTTTCCACATGGTGTTCAACATACAATTGCATGTCCAAGCAATTGCTACGCATTGACTTAATGATTGTGATCAAAAGACTTTGGTTGGAAGCTTTTTTGTCATTAGCTGGTATCTAGAACTAGCCTTTGTTGTAGTAATGGCAGAGAATAATTTCATGTAAACAACAAGATCCTGTGAACAATCTGTAATAGCATAAATGAAAAATAAGCTCAATGATTGTAATTTACTATTGGAGTTCTTTAATGAGGACTAATTATACACTATAGGAATAAAAGAGGATCTGAAAAACCACATTCAGTAGGACATAATTTGAATTCATATTAAAAAACAGCTTTGACTTGTGGTCATCATCATATCCAACAGAGCTATTAAAACTTTTTGTCAATTAGAACAACAATTTTCTTTCTTCCTTCCTTTTCTCTTCTCTTGTATAAAATCAAAGAAAAGTACCTAGTGGTTTAGGAAAAAAGGCCAAGTCACTAATGTAGAGCTTGAAGAAGCCACAAAAAACAAATTCAAGGTGTGATGTGGGGAATCCTGCTCCATTCACCTCTTTAAGACATAACTTGAAAATACCCTTCTCCACTAGAATTTGGTTGCTGTCAACAAATAATCCTGTAATTCTCTCCACAACATCTTAAAATTGTGTTTACAATTTAACCAAGATAATGCCCCACTTCACACACTTTCCAAAGTTCATCTTGTTGTGTGTGATGAGAGCATTGGAAACAAACCCATCTTTGGAATTATTACATAATGATTCCATTATTTCACATCAAATGATTACAAATATAGTGTATCCATGCAATCAGGTTGATGTTGATGAACATACCGTTTGATACGTGTAACCATGCGTTCAGATTGCTAAAAACACCATCACCTTGAAGAAATTCTATATAAAGTGTGGTCAAAAGTTAAATTTTTTGGTCAGATAGTCATTCCCAATTATGAGTTATGTTGCCATTGGCCCGGCTCCAAGGAGAAAAAAACATAGAAAATCACTGTGAGTTCCATCATCATCCATGCACTAGAAACAGCGTTCCCAGTTCTCCCCTTTCGCCGAATGGTCCAGCGTCCCATCATCGACGAGAATGTACACTACTGAAGCATTGAACAGACACAGAGCAAGTGAAATGTTCAAACATAAACTCTAAATCCAATTCCTCCTCAAAATCCCCAACTCCACATGCGTTCGTCTATTGATTCGCGCTGCGCCATCGCGCAATACCAATCATGTCCAAGCACATCATCATAGCAGTTACATGTCCTCACTCGTAGTAAATGGTCTTTCTTGGATTTGTTGCTTGAGGATGATAATCTAGTCTTTGGAGGTATTGACGTAGCAATGCCGAAGTAGGACGTGATTCAAATTTCCGTATTTTCTTCTTCTTGTGTATTGAGTTCGGTGTTGCGTAGATTAAACACCGCGGAGTTTAATTACGTAAGTTGAGGACATGTAATGAAGGGGTTGGTCTATTGAGGTTTAGTCGGGGTTTTTGCAAGGTCAGGGTGCAATGGTGATCCTGCAAGAGAATTTCGGAGCGGACTGGAGACTCAGACATTGCTACATTCCATAAAGACATCTGTGGGCGTATGCGAGGAGTGAATGCCATCGAGGGAGCAGGTACTTGGATGCGATGGCGCACATCATGCGACTCCTGTGCCGAGGCTACTTCATCGAGCAACATCATCTTGTGTCAGCATCCTCTTGGCATTTATCGCACGTCTCTTCACTAGGTGCTTTTTTCCTCGATACCTCACCTTCATTGTCCTTTCTCTCTTTTTTTCCCTCATAATTCTTGTATATTTAAGCACGAAGTTCAGTATTTTCTGCACTGAAATCCCTGTTTTGGTTGCTGAAGCCTGTAGATTTTAAACTGCTTATCCATGACCTTTCGGAAGTAGCCCATGGCGTTAATGCTGCAGTTAAGTCTTTAGCAAACAAGCACATGCTTGCTGTTGCAGCGGGGCACAAACTTGATCGGCAAGTTCAATTCTGTGACTGAAGTGCAAAATTTTGCTCCTGACAAATTTTAAAATTAAAACCATCTGTCAAATTCTAAGCGTCGGAACTTGTAATTCATGGTTTCACCACTGAGGAAGAATTGTATGCTGTGCATATTTCTTTCAAAATCAGCTCGACTTTGTGCAGCACATAGGGGAGGTGGTCTTGTTCATATTTGTATGTGATGAAAAGAAATATGACATCGTGATGAGACAAGACTAATTTTTACGAGTTGCATGTTTTTTCTAGTAAACGTTGTTGTTGGCTCTCATAACGTAGGATCCTTATTCATAACATCTCTTGAACCTAATACTTATACATCTCTTGAACTTGGGCTTGACAGAATAGCTCTCTTGATACTCTAGTTGTGATGATCGAGCGAGTAGAGAGGCCTGTCATCTGTCGTCTCGCTATGACCTTCGTCCTGAATGTGCAGAATCACATTGTTCGAGTGACTTTGTTTACACAACGCCATCAGCAGGTGCAGATTTTGCTGAAGTTTTGGACCAAAGTGTCCATGACACTAAAACTTCATCAAACTCTTGGTTCAAAATAATCAGTGGTGCTCTCTTTTGGTATAATCAGGTATTGGTTAAGTTGGTGGGGAGTAGGTGCATCCAGTTGATTCTAAAGACTGGACCAACGAAATAAAGTATTGAGGATGCGTCAAGCCTATGGTTGTTGACTTCGTCCTTTGGATTAGAATTTAATTAATGGAAATCTTACAACCCGTTTGTTTATTATGTTGACATGCTTACAGGAGGATGTGAAAGGCAGTAAAGTTGTTTCAGCTACTCAGGAGCTGCATGTGTCAAGAGATGTTGAGCTTGTAAAGGAGAGCGAGGCAAGGGTATACTACCCAACATGTTAACCTACAAGCCCATCATGTCCTGTCTTGCTAAAAAGGTAAAAGTAGACCAGTTCCATGAACTTGCGAAGTGGATAGAAGAAGCCGTAGTGCCCTCTGATGGGGTGTTTATATACTACGAAATCCAACTTTATTCTGTAGTCTCGTGATTTTGAAAGAGCAATAGCTCTTTATCTCGCTTGCATCAGAAGCGGCCTTCGTCTCTGGATGGTGAGTACTTTTGATGACTTTCTTGAAGGAGATGTTTCAGGACGTGTTGCTTCTGCATACTAAGGGTTTACATTATTCTTGAGGCAACGACTCCTTTTGGATAAATATCTTCCGATTCGTTTTCTGATAACCTTTTTGGCGATTAAAAGTACTCTGGTTTGTTTTTCGTGAGTAGGCTGATTATTGCAAAATTTTGTGTATTAATGCGTATATTATTTTGTATATTGGATTCTCCTGTGAGAGAGAGGAAGACTGATGGGGCAGGAATGATCTAATGGCATGGGGAACATTATAGCTCGGTTTATGATGGCGTTGGCAAAGGATGATGAAGTATCTATTATGATGGACTTGGTTGCTAAAGTTTTTCCCACCATAAATTCAAATACCAAGTGATTGCCGCTTTTCAGTGTCTCGGCAGGCATTTGCAACCTGATCCCGCCCTTCTATCTTCCTCTTTATTGAAAAATTAAAGGTACTCTAGCTTACACAGTTGTGTTTTTTAACTAGCATTCGTTTTATTATATCCGTCCTGTCATACGTAGTTAATTTGCATATTGTGGTCTTAACAACGTCCTCCCTACGTTGTAGTAGAAAATTATCACCACATTTCTTGAATGTGAGTTTCTGTGATAGGCATAAATGAGCAACAGATGGGGTTTTACTTGAACGTCTACATTCAAGGAGTCAGTCAAGTCGACAAGGTAGTTACCTCATCAAGATCAAATCTTTACTAATCTGCACACCCTGATTGTCCACAGATGAAGTTGCCAGTTTTATACCTTAGATAGTGGTTAGTTGCAAAGCAAGGGAATGTCGCTTTATGCTGCCAGTAGTAATTCTCGAAATCATTTGATGTGTCTATATTTCATTTACAATGGCATCTGTCTTCAATTCCTAGGATTTGCACTTTACGTGGGAAATCGTATGGGAAATCTGCAAGATTGTTACAAGCACTTATTTGCACGAGGTTCGAGAGACCCAGTGGGCATTTTGCTTCTTGCTGCGCTTCTATCTAGGAAACTCAACTTTATATTGATAATTACCCAGTCAGGTAAGTAGGGTTCATCTGAGAATCCTTATTGACACAGTTCTGTGACCTCTAAAAACTCACTCACATTGCTTTTGGATGAAGTTGGACAAACTTGTTTGAAATTGGCTTGAATTAATGATTCGTCCTTCCTGTGCGTACAGATTTCGCAAGGCCTTGATCTCTTGGATGAGATGCAAGCAAGGGAGTTAGAGCCATCTTCTTTTTCATTGAGCCCGTTTATTAGCGAATTTGAATGGAAGACAATGATTGATGAGGATGGATACATGTGAGGAGTTGTAGGAACTATATATGTATGGCGCTCTACGTCGGTATGAATATTAAGAAGGCTTTTCAAGTTAAATTACTAACACTTGCCTTGGTCTTGATGGAAGGTAGGCATTTGAAATGAAAGCGGCAATGTTTACACTGGAAGTGTAGCCAACTGTGGTCACATACCACTGATAAGTTCTGGCGTTAAGATTGGGGATGTGAGTCTTATTTTCTTGAATCTATCAGCGCTTGATCATTTATTTTGAAATTGGAGACAAACATGAGATACTGTGGAATTTTAAGGCGATAATTGTTCAAGAAACTTCTGAATTTGTTGGATTTATTACTAATATGAGATTTTCTGATACTATGTGGTATTGTATCAGCTGGAGAAGGCGTGTAGATTATTTCCTGAAATGAAGAAGCTTGGTGTGGATGTCAATACTTATTGCTATAACCTCTTATTCAGCGCTTTGTTGTACAGGTTATATACTAACTGGTCAAGAGACTGTGGCTTATGTTGGAAGTCTTTAGGAATCTATAAGACAATTTATGTTTTTAGTTCCTGTTGCTTTATTCAGCTTAGAGTCTTCATGTTATTTCTTAGCTTGACATCCACAATCTGAATTTCTTTTACGCATGTTGTGAGACCCAGGAATGGTTTGATGGAGCACCAGCAGTTATGAAGGAGATGGATGCAACCGGTGTGAAGCCAGATGTTCATGCGTACCGTCTTCTAATATTTGCATGCTCCCTGAGCAAAGATGAAGACCGAGCGGATCAGGTGCCCAGTCAAAAAAAATTGTCACACCCTTGCTGAGGCAGTCAACCGCACTTTTGCTAATGAACGATCTCAGTTGATTAAAAGTTAAAGATATGAGATTAATTCATAGCAAGTCGGTGGGGGCAATTTTTAGTGTTCATACTTCAACACTCGGAAGTCCCTGAAGCCATAGTGGGTTATGTAACTGTCTGGGAAAATGCAAGAACGTGGGATAAGGCCAAACGAATCCATCTACACTGTAGTGATCATTGTTTACTCAGAATGTGGAAATGTTGATCGTGGTATTGTGGCACGCAGATATTTTTTTCCTCATTCGTTGGAAACTTAGTATTTCTTAAACAGTCGATGGTTTAGATCTATCCACTTTAACATGTAAATCTGCAATTGAGAGATGTTTCTTTTATCCCACTGACTAGTCTGCGACTGTCTGTGGCTTGCTGTGACTAGACTTGCAGGTTTTCATGAAACGAATCTCACGTGACTACTGCCTCTCTCTTAATTGCGTGATAAAATTATAGTCTAACATTATTGAACATTGTTGTTGTTCAGATGATTAGGAACTTAGAAAAAAGTGGGAAACAGCAGGAATTGAGGCCAAGAGTGCTGTTTTGCATGGGATTTCTGTAACTGGCCGCGTGGAGGAAGCCCTAGATTTATATGCCGCTTTCAAAATGGAACACGTACTACCACATTGATATGCAGTTGGCTCACTATTGGTCGTGAATTATTTTTGATTTATTGCTCTCCTGGATGATCCATGTTACCGAGCCATACATTTTATTATAGATAAGACGTCTTTGTGTGCGTATATAAGCCTCCATAATTGTTGCAGGTGTGCCCAGTGATATGCTTAAAAGCATCTAGCAGTTTATTTGCGAAAATTTGGGACTCCTGGCTTACAAGCTGGAATGTTTTTCTTAATATGTACAAGTCCATTTATGTACAATTATCAGCTACTAGTATTGAAATTTTCAGCTATAGTTAGGTGTCGTGCACAGTGTTGCAGGATATACGACATTTTTTCACCTAGCTCTTTCTTGTGTGGCTGTATGCAGGCAGCGCTTGGGAAAGTAGGGAACTTGAACAGGATGTTTGAGGTGTTTGAAGATGCTCGAGGAGCTGATAAGTGGAATTTCATGAATTTAAGGCAACATGCTGAGCATCTTAACGTCCGATGTTTAAATGCAGTTTTGGCATGTATCCATCACAACCAGCTTGGGTACGGTTATGTAATGCTGGGTTAATTTCTGTTCAAAAAACTTTCATCCTTCTGCTAGTTGTCGAGTTCGTGAAAATGCATCGTTTCAGTATTCTAGTATGTTCATATGTTTTCTGACTAATGGGATAAACCCAACAAGATATCTGAGCTTGCTTCAAGTGTGGTCTTGCGGTAAAGGTTCCTAGGTATTCTAACATAGGAAGACGAGATCTAATCGTCTATCATTTGTTATTCATCACTTGAATTTTCTACTGCGATCCCTATGAAAGATGTCTTCTAGTTACGTTGGGTTGTTATTTTTTAAAATTGCAGTGTCTGGTATTTGCCGTAAGTGCAGTCCAAACCTAATAATTAGCCATACCATAGCATGTATGATTTGAAGCTTCTATTTGTACTCTTTTTAGTTGTGTAGTATCATGTATCGCTGTATTATATATATATATATATATATATATATATATGGGTATAACTATATACAGTCAAAGAAACAGCTCATCACAATTATCAATATCATGTATCATAACTATCAATATAATGTATCACAACTATGTAATAATATGTAATAACATGGTAGCATCAGAACTTGTATGTGCTTAAGCAGTTGAATGTGTTTAAGCACATACAAGTTCTGTTCTCATATGTTTGAACTAAATGAAATTAAAGATGGTAATGACAAAATCGTTCTGCGAAAATCCTGTAGAACTGGTCACAGATTGCCTTCAGTTTTTGGCACTCATGTGTAGAATGTGTGAAGAAAGAGCAGGGTTAAGGGCTCAAGGGTTTTCCATAGTGGAGATAGTAAGCTTAGTATCCTCCTCCAGATCATTACAATCTCTTAATTGAGCATTAGCTGAATCGAAACTGTGTCACTTGTTGTACGAATCAACAAAAGCAGGTCATTTTAATGGGTTTTTCTTTGAAGGAAATATCATGGCTTCGTTGAATCTAGAATGTTTGCTGCTGAGAACAAACTTGGTGATTGTTGTGCAAAGAGAGCTGATTGGATCATCCACTCATACTGGATAAATGTAGGTGTGTAGTGCGATTACTGGAGCTTTGTGCACAACTCACAGTTGCAGTTTGTGGCATTCTACAACACTCAAATGCTACAGGATATGCCTCATCTGATGAAGGGGTCCGGTTGAATACCATTTATTCTAGCAGTCCGTGACCTTTTCTTGAAGTTTTGATAGGTGTGCCTGCAGTTTCTGCGCTAAATCAGCTAGTTGAGGTGATGGAAAGACGTGAAGCCAGCACAAGAACAGCAGCAAACAGGGCTATGGGGGTACAAATCCGTGAGCGGCCATCGAAGCGGCAAAGAAGAAGCTTTGAGACAGGTGATCAAGATGAGTCACAGGATAACAGTTCAAGTAGTATGCTTATCATTTTTGGAGCAGAGAATACAGAAACCACTTGTGGGAGTTTGGAGAGCGTTTGCTATAGTCCTTTACTGTATGGCAACTTGCTCGCTCTTCTTCTGTGTGTGTTCTGGGAGTCAACATTGGCAGTTCAAATTCAATTGCACATGTAGGAAATTTTCAATTCATTCAAGTTGTCATTTATGAGCTCCTGATATTGTGCTGTTGATAGATTTTTTACCTTGGTCAACCTATGCATCACAAATTCTTTTTCAGAATTTAGATGCAAACGCGGACAATCGTCAAACTGCAGCAGAGTTTCTGAGCTGGATAATTTGCCCCTCAAGTTCGAAAGAGAGCTTACATCGTTTCTCAAATTCTTGAAGCTGCTGAAGATGGGCAGTCTATTTGTAATGAAAGGATGATTGTAGGGAATCGTTTAGAAAACCTGATGGTACAAGAAAGTTACTGGACTTCAAGCAATATGGAATGGATTGCTTTCCATTCACGCCTTGTAGCATCTGTGAATCACCCGTCAATTGTGCCGGCGATCATGTCAGTGGGGGAACACGTCATGTCTCAAATTCGTCCATATTGCAAAATCTGACAGCATGGCTGTTGAGATTGCGCAATCTTGGAAGAGAGCTTCAAGTGCTGCACTTTGAAGGTGGAGAGCTTCAACAATGTTACTCTTCTTACTCCTTATGAGTTTCTGAAGGTTCTTAGACCCTGGGAAAGAAGGGCTTGCTTGGTCTCTATCTGCTTTTGTCTGCCTCTATCGTCTGCGCACTGATCATTCACAAAGGGAATCTCCAGCCTGGTGGAGAAATTCAATCGTATTTATTCCGAGTCTGGATTCTTGGTATCGAACCAAGGTTGGCGGCGAATTCAATTTTGCAATGTCGTGTGTGGCTGATTCATTCTAGGGGTCCCAACCTTCTTGTGTGAGTGTTCGAACTTGAAAGCTATCTCAATCCTCATAAGCTGGGTAATTTGCAACATTGACATCAACATTTGCCCTTTTCCCTCGATCTTAATTGTTCTGATAACACCTTTTTGGTGGGAGGCTTTTACAGGATGTAAGAGCAGTAAAGCTGCCCTCTTCGTTCACCTTGATACCAAAATGTTTTTGCTAGTTTAACCCCTGGTCAAACCTCGTCATCTTACAGCATGTGATTCTAGATTTACTGTCAGACGGGTTGTTGCAGCTTGTGTTCATCATTGGGTGCAGTCAAGTGTGATGAACTCAGAGAATGTAGAAACTATGTATCATGGGAGCATTCAAATGCTAGAGGATTTACACACTGGTTACAGGCTTACAACCTGAGCTGGTGCAATCCGTGGTGACACCGATTTGGCTGAGGCGGTAGGAAATTTAGAACTGTACATAAAACAGTTGAAGACATTTTATAACATAGTAGGAATGGGAAGGATACTTGGGTGCATGTTCAGCAAGGTACATATTACCTTGCCTCTTTTGTGAAATAAGGAAAAGTGACTATTTCTTGCATCCTTATGAAGTTGATGTTGTGGACTTAATGTTGTGGACTTATCTAAGTATTGTATAACACTTCAGATCCTCCTCCTATCCCCCTTCCCCTCCCCCCTCCTTCTTTGTGGCTTCTTGTGGGTTCAGCCACCCTCTCCTCTACTAGAGCCAACCTTTCTTACTAGGAACCCAAATTTCACCACTCAATGAAATTCATGCCACACAATAGGTTCAAGAGGTGGAATGGAGGAATTGGTAGTTCAATTAACTTAATGCCCTCCAGGCAATGATTACAAATATTAAATAAAAAGATTTAATGAAATTCACTATGGTCCTTCAAGACTATTTGCATGATCTTTACTAAATTTTGTATGATTATAAAATTATAGTTAATTAGAATAAATAAATAAATAATTAGTTGAAATTTATAAATTATTATTGCTTAAATAGTTGATGGTAAAAGTAATGAGTTGAATTATTACCGTTAATCTATAATAAAAATAAAATCTTAAAATAAAAGTTAAAAGTAAATTTAAAATTAAAATAGAAAAGATTAAAGATTAAAAGTTGAAAATTAAAAATTAAAATTCAAAAGTTGAAATATAGAAGTTACGAGTTATTGGAAAAAATTCAAGTAAAAATAGAACTAAAAGAGATAAAAGCAAAGGTACATTGTGTCATTAACATGAATTATAAGATGATATATAAGTCAATGAAATTTATGTCAAAGAAAAAGTGAAAAAATAGAAATAAAGAAGTATATATATTAAAAAGGGATTAGAATGGCTTATTACTAAAAGACAAGAAAATTTGAGACTCTTGAATCTAAACAAGAAGTAAGAAAGAAGTTGATAAGAGTGAAGAGGGCTTCACTCTTGTCTCTATATATACTATCTAATTAAGGGCTATGTGACGATGTTCTATAGGACACATGCCTTGACTTACAAGGCAAGTTTTTCTATGTGTAGATTACATAGTTAGCTTGGTCTTCAAGCTAACAACATATGTAGCACATGGCCAACTTTTTGACTACGTTTCTAACCTAAAAAGTCAATTATAGAAACTTATAAAATCAAAGCAGTATCTATGAAGCTTCTAAGAAGCTAGTATAGAAGATATTATAGAATTAACTTACTTTTATCTACTTCAACTTATTTCTAATTATTTATAGAGGTAATTATTGGCTTACATATGTATGTCCGTGACATTATTCCCCCCTTCTAGGGACGAGTTCTACGAAGAGTGGTCATCATATGTTGAAAAAATCTATGATGCAATAAATTGTATTTGCTACATATTCACATCATTGTTCTCTTCAAAGATGGTTGATAGGGCCTCTCAATTATCGATAATATCTCATATTAAGGTAGAAAGACCAACCTATTATTTTATTGTTGTTGAGGCCTTCATAACTTCCTTCAAATAAAATATTTGGAACATCGTCAGGAGTTGTTCCTACTTCTAATAAAATAACCAAAAATTGACAGTCTCTTTGAAGGTCGTGATACCAAATGCATTGTATCTCGCCATCTATTTGAGAAAATACATATTGTTCTTGAGGATCTTCATCTCGATTGCATCGTCTTAAAGGTTGTGACAATCACAATGTCTTGTTTGGCAAGTGAGCAAATGAAGGCTCTTCAATAAAATCTACTAGTTGTTGGTTCTCCATCTCTTTAGTGTCACAAATACAAAGAAGCTACAAATAAGGATTGAAAGTAGAATGTTAACTTGCCTAGATCTTATTTCTTTTATAGGAAAGGTCTTCATCTTGATTTTGATGGATGTCATCAATTAAAAGCCTCCACCCTTTTTTATTGCATTTCCAAGATTCTTTACTACCTCCCATGTGCATTCACTAATATCATATCCATGCTAATAGATAAGATATTTTAATTTATTTTAGCGTCGACTTGAATCTAGAACTTCTTTCACTTTGAACTCTTTATTATTGTCCACTTCTATAAGAGGAGGTGGAGCTTGTCATCTTCTTGGTATGTCCACTGTCTTGTATAATTCAAGAAGAGACACATGGAATATTTGATGGATTTTAATTGATTTTGGTAGGTATAAACGATATGCAACTAGATTGATTTGTGTAGAAATAGGGAATGGTCCAAGCCTATGATAGTCCAACTTATCACAAAGATGAGTGATCTTAATATTGTAACAAATTAACCATAACTTGTCATCCATATGGAATGGTGGTTGTTCCTTTCAATAGATATCTGTATTAACCTTTTATTTTTCTTGAGCTTCTTTTAACTGCGCCTTCATTGTTGCATGTAGCTTTGACAAATGATTTGCCAAATCTTCCGCCGTAGGATTATCAACTTTTGAAAAGTCAAAAGTATCAAGTCGTGGATGATAATCATAATTAGCAAAAAAAGGTGTTTATTTTGTAGAAAAATGTACCATGTTATTATAAGCAAACTTTGCCAATGACAAAAGAGTTGTCTAATTAACTTGTTGGTAGTTGATGGTACATCTTAAATACTGCTTCAAAACTTGATTAACATACTTTATTTATCTATTAGTTTAAAGATAGAATGTTGAAGATAATTTTATATCTACTTTTAAAATCTTGAAAAGAGTCTACATAAATTTTGATATAAACTGAGTTTTCCTATCAGATATAATATCTTTGGGTTATCCATGTTAGTGATAGATGTTGTCAAGAAAGAATTTAGCTGTTTCTTTACCTATAATAGATTTTATACATGATACAAAATGTGCCATCTTAGAAAAAAAATCTACTATCATGAATATAGAGTCGTAAGGACTTAAGATTAGAAGATCCTTGATAAAATCCATAGAAACAGAAGACCATGGTTATCTTAGAATGAATAATGGTTTAAAAAGTCTGTAAGGTTGGTGACGAGGAGTTTTTGATCTTGAGCAAACATTGCTTGACTGAACAAAGTCTTTCACACCCTTCCACATTTGTGGCCACCAAAAATCTCTAAATATAAGTTCTAAAGTCTTGTTGTATCCAAAATGTCCTACTATTGGAAGGTTGTGACATACTTGAATAACACATAATCATGCTTTTCCTTTTAGAACATATAATTGACCTTCGAAATATAGTGGATTGTTTTTGAATTCAAATTTAGAAGTATCTTAGAATTTAGAAGAAGGATTCTTGATATTATAAATAAGAGGATCAAAAGATATACTTGCTGGATTTGTTTTACAAAGATCAAATCAATGGTCAATATTGATTTCATTACTCGAAGATAAAAATAATCTAGCTTTAAGAGAATCATTCTTTGTTGATCAAAAGATACATCTTCTTCTTTTGGTCTAAGATAAGAATATCTAGAAATGGCATCTAACAAATCTTATTATTTTTTGGATCAATATATGAACTTGAAATCAAATCTTGATAAAGACATGTTCCAAAAAGTTTGGCAATAATTTAAAACACGTGCTCATATGAAATACTTGAGATTCTTGTGGTCCATATACATGGTGATTGGATTAGAAGCACCTTCTCAATAATGATGCCATTCTTAAAATGAATCCATGATTGCAAAAATCTCTTTGTCATAGATTTTATAGTTAATATCGATTACTGAAAATTATTTGGAATGAAAAGCTACTAGGTGAAGTTTATCATCTGCTTCCATTTGTGATAATATAACATCCAAAGTAAAGTCTAATGCATCTATTTCCATAAAAAATGCCTTAGAAAAGTTGACGCAATACAAGATTGGTACAAAAATAAAGGCTGACTTTAAAGTTTCAAAAGATACTTCAACTTCTTTACTCTACTCAAGTTTATCTTTGCAAATCAAACATGTAAGTGGAGCTACAACTTGAGAGAATTCTTTGATGAAGATCCGATAATAATTAAAAAATCTCAAAAAGAATTGGCCATCTTTTACTGTTATTAAAATCTTCCAATTCATAATCGTCTGAATTTTTTTAAGATCTATCATAAATCCATCATTTGAAATGATGTATTCTAAAAAAGTGCCTTGAGTAGAGTGGAATACACTTTTCTATCTTGGCATAGAATCTCACATCTCTTAATTTTTGTAAAACACAACAAACATAAAGTTCATGTTTATTGGTATTCTTAGAATAGATCAAGATGACATCTAGATAACAAACAACAAAATTCTCCAAAAACTCTCAAAAAAAATTATTTATTAGTTGTTGAAAAGCTGTTGGTGTATTTGTAAGTCCAAAAGGCATGACGTTGTATTCAAAATGCCTATACCTAGTTTGAAATGTAGTCTTCCATTTATTTATTTTTTTAATACATACTAGATTGTATGCTCTATATAGATCTATTTTTGTATAGATCTTAGTTTGATTTAGTTGATCGAGAAGTCTGGATATCAAAGATAGAGGGTACCTATTCTTAATGGTGGTTTTCTTGAGTCCTTGATAATCAACACACATCTGCAATGATCCAACTTTCTTCTTTACAAATAAGATTAGAACTTCTATTGGTAATTTGGAATGGTGTATGAAATTTTTGGCTAGATTTTCTTCAATATATTCCTTGAGTTCAGTAAATTTATTTTGTGATAAATTATAGATTGGTCTAAATGGTAGTTGTGTTCCTTCTTGAAGGTCAATTGAGCAATCATAGGGATGATGTTCTGGAAGAGTATCTGCATTTTTTTTCTTAAATACATCTTGAAATTCTTGATATTGGTTGAGAATGCTACTTGAAGTCTTTGCATCATTAGAAACAAGTTTGGCATAAATGACAAAAAGTGATCCTTTTTTTTGCAGCATGTAGAAAGCTCTTGTACCTACAAATATAAGTTTAATTGTACTAGACTTATGACTTTCTATTTGATTAATTTTACTCTTAATTATACTTTTAGAGAAGTCAAGAGTATGAAAAATCCAATCTATGCAAGGATTATACTTTTCTAACCATGATAAATCTAAAATGATTGAATTAGAAGGATATCTAATTATATTAATGATTATGCAATTACTATGATCATTTATTACTATATCTATAGGAAGTATTTTATGAATAACATCTCCAAAAGATA